GCGCCAGGGCAGGTGCAGAGAGTGCCTTGGGCAGGACAGGTCGAGGACCCCAGTTCTTGGGCATGGGCAGGGGGATGCTCGTTCACAGGATGCGCAGGCTTAAAGGGCCCCACCTGTCCAGACAATGCTGGATCCCAAAGCTGTGCACTGTGCCAGGCCTGCAGAACCAGCTGCCTGAGCTGGGCCCTTTGCAATTCTTCCTCATGCATCTTCTCAACGTTATAGTCTCACGTGCCAGCTGGGAGCTGGCAACCGGTTTGGAGCTGCAGAGCCAGGCTCCAGCACGCCCCAGACATCTCCCGCCCCACCCGAGAGCTTTTCTCACCAGCCCCCTGGGGCAAGCAGTCATAAACAAAGTGCTTCCAGCTGATTTCTCGGCTACCGCGCTCTTGCCAATAGGAGAGGAATCCCACGCCGGCCCCCAAGCAGCGCAGGCTCTCTTCCCAGGGGAACTGAGATGGGAGGAAAGAGAGAAAGAGGCGCCTGCAGGTTGTGCTGTGAAGCCGCCCTGCAGCAGAGGGGCTGGCTCTGGGTGGCACGCCCCACACAGTCACTGTGGCTTGGACTGGCTTCATCTGAGCTGGCACCTCTAAGCGTGCCCCCCCAGCCAGCTCAGGAGTGACTGCATCGTCTTGGGAAAAGCCGCTGCAGTCCAGCACCAGAAAGCTCTGCCGGCAAGGACCTGCGTTCAGCAGAGACCCACCTGTGCTTCTCGCCCAGGGACTCTCAAGCAGACTGCGTGAGGTCTTTTCAGGGGTGCCGCAGGGTGCCACGCAATGTTGGCACTCTTCGCTGTGCGAACGGGAGTCACGTAATAAACCTAGAGATTTCCCATAGGAATCCACTGTGTCAAAACCCTTCTGCTCTGGTGGGGTCTGTCTGAGCTCTTTGCAAAGAAGACTTGGGCTAGTGTTGTTCTGTAATCAATAAATGAGTGAAAACTATGAGCTGGCTTTTTCCAAGGGGGACCTGGAGGCTAAAGAGATTCAGAGCCTCTGCTCAGGGCTCTTCAGGCAAAGCCCAAGTCACTGGGTCAGCGCCTTATTCCACATGGAAACCCCTACTGGTGCCAAGCAGATGTAACAACCACCTCATTAACACAGCAAGGCCGTGAACATACATGAGGACTCGAGAGACGGGAGGGTGAGATCACGTGGATCACACAGCAGCCTGTTGCGGCTCATCTGTCCGGCTAGCAATGCTGGCATGAGGCTCTGTGCCACGCAGGCCAGCAGCCTCCTGGACCGGACCCCAGGCTCACACAGCTCCCCCCATGCCTGCAGCCCACATTACTGCGTTCATAGGATCGCAGGAGAGCGGGGATGGAAGGGACCTCACGGTCATCTAGTGCAGCCCCCTGCTCACAGCAGCTTCACCCCTGACTAAACCCTCCCTGCCAAGGGTCTGTCCAACCTGCTCTTAAAGACTTCCAAGGGTGGAGATGCCACCACTTCTCTGGGCAGCCTGTTCCAATGCCTGAACATGCTCGGAGTTAGAAAGTTTCTCTGAATCCCCTACTTTAAATTCCCCTGCTACAGCTTGAAACCACTGCTTCTTATCCTGTCCCTTGCAGCTCCAGAGACACTCCATCTCCATCCTCTCGGTAATCACCCTTCAGGGATTTGAAGACTGAGACCACATCCCCTCTCAGTCCTCTCTTCTCCAGATTAAATCACCCCTGCTCTTCTGGCCTTTCCTCAGCCACAGGCACATAGGCAGTGTGTGACGGAGTATGTCAGCATGCCACGCAGTAAGGGCCCATCTGGGCATTTATCCACAGTCATTTCCCATTGCCCAGCATTGCTCAGCTCCATCTCTCACCTGCCTGGGCACTGCTGGAAACCAGGCTGCCACGAGCTCCCTTCCCACAGGGTCTCCCATTACCCCACAGCTAAGTCTGTGTGTGTGAATTTCTCTCTCTTAAGTAGACACGGTGGAAAGGGTGGGACCGGGATGGTCTGGCAGAGACAGCAGCCTCTGGGCCCCTGCACCACAGGAATGACTTTGTCAGAGGCTGGCACAAGCTCAGCACAGGGCATAAGGTGGGGACCAACACACCCTCGGGCTGCTGTATCTCCTGGCTCACTTCAGAGCAACCTCGGAGCCTGTCCCAAGTTGCATGGAGGCTGCGCTGGCCCTGTGGGTTGTTCCAGCAACAGCAACAGATGACACAACAGAGCGCTCAGGCTGCGTGCCTCAGTTCCCCAGGCCTCCCTGCCACTATGCACCAGGCTGCCAGGGCATGGGGGGCACAGGAAGGTTCCTCTAGTGCCAGGCTCTGGAGCCGTATGGGGCTGAGCAGCGCTCTGCAGAGCCTCAAGCACATGCGGACATGGAACATTAGTCCCAAACCAGCGACGAACATGCCCTTCTCTGGCTCTTCCCTGGCACAGACGGTGAGGCAGAGCTAAGCCAGAGCGATCTGGAGACAACCCGCAGCCGCCAGCGTACATTTGCACCAGGTCATTTTAACTCTGAAAGTAGGGAATGCCTGACCTGGACACTGAGCGTGTCCCGGGTGGCTCCAGGCACGTGGCTGCTGGGGGTGACCCGGGTTCCCAGAACAAGGACAGCAGTCCCCTGTCGCTGTCCCATCACCATGCCCAGCAGAGCTACAGACCTTCTGCACACGCTGCCACCAGTCCAAATCCTCCTCCTTCCCTCTTCTCTTGCTGCCACCACCACCTCCATCTCCTTGGGGATCAAGGCCTTTCGCCTCAGGGAGGTCTGCAGGAAAGGAAGGTGGGGTTGGAAGAGGCGGTGAGCCTGTCCAGCCGTCAGCTCCCAACAGGAACCCACGTACAATTTGCTCACCACAGCACCCGCACCCCACAGGGCAGGCTGGGACCAGTGCAGAAAACGCAGGGTCCTAACGGGCGACCAGGTCTTGCCGAGCAGTAGGGCAGAAGGGGACAGAGGTGCAAATCTGCTGACGTTGGTTTTGTAACCGCCGCAGTGCTCAGGACAGGGGCTTTCTTACACGGACAGCCTCTCTGTAGCCAGCAGGGCTGATTCAGCATGCTGCTGCGCTGCTCACAGCCTGCACAGCTCATACACCAGCACAAGCTGCCAATGCCCTGCCTGCACTCAGCAGGCAGCGAGAGCACCAGGCCCTGCACATAGGTCCCCAGACTCCTGGCAAGGAGGGAGAGGTGCCTCTCCATTGCGCTCACACACCAAGAGCTGCCAGCAGCACAGCAAGATGAGCTGGTCAGAAAGCGCCCTGGGGCCCTGCAGGGAGGAAGACACGAGACCTGTGTGGGGCAGCGAGCAGACTGAATGTCCGGGACATCCCTGAAATGGCAGGGCTGGGCGGGGGGCAAGCATCAAGGGAAGAGAAAGGGGAGCCCAGAGACACTGCAGCGGTAGGAGCGGTGCCAGCACACGGAGGGCAGCGATTCTTCCCCTCTGCTCGGCACTGGGGAGGCCACATCGGGAGTCCTGTGTCCGGTTGTGGGCCCCCCACTGTAAAAAGGATGTGGACACATTGGAGAGAGTTCAGAAAATGGTTTGGGGGCTGGGGGGCATGACTGATTGAGTCTGCAGATGAGGAGATTGAGGTGGGGAATGAATATTAGCCTTCAACTCCCTGCAGGGGGGCTGCAAAGAGGATGGAGCTGGACTGGTCTCAGTGGGGGCAGATGACAGGACAAGGAGCAATGGGCTCAGACTGCAGCAAGGGAAGTTGAGGTTGGGTACTAGGGAAAACTTTGATTAGGAGGGCAGTGAAGCCTAGAACAAGCTCCCCAGAGAGGGGGTGCAAGCTCCACCCTTGGAGGCTTTTAAGCCCATGTCAACAACCCCCTGGCTGGGACGGTGCAGTCGGGACTACACCTGCTGGGACTGGACGGGACGGAACCCCTCACCTCCCTTCCCACCCCCGTGGTCTGCGACTCTGAGCCCCTCTGGCTGAGCCGGGTGACGACGTCACGCAGAGCAGGCGCACATCGATGACACCACGGCCTTGCTTTACCACTCGCTGTAAACACATTCCCCACCCCATTGCGCAAGCGCAGAATACCTCTTCTTCACCCCCCAACCCACCCCGCGCGCATGCGTAGCACAGACCGCTTGTGTCTGCACTTTTCCCTCCCCCATGCCTACCTTCCTGTGTCCTGCTGAAACCGTCCGGGCGCGGACTATTACCGCGCACTGTGGTTCCGGCTCCCAGAATGATTATTGCTATTATTAATAATGACAATTTTTCATGGCCCAGGTCAAATTTGCCAGATCAGTTTTGTACCATTCAAAAAAAACCCTTATGTGGCCCTACTACCGGCAACCATCCACCACCCCAGACTTTTCAGCCCAGGGCTTTGGATACTTCCAAATCCTTTGGCAGGCATCCTACATCCAGGCCCAAGCCCAGAGGCTTGGGGTTCAGATGCCCCTGAGTTTCACTCGCCCTCAGCCACAGGAGCAAGCCAGGGAGGAGTCCGGCTGCCAGAAGGGTCAGCAGCTCTGCACCCTGCAGACGTTGCAGGGAGCCTCTGCCTGGGGCTCTCCATCACTGGACGGGTCCAGCCCCACCCCATCTCCATGAAAACAGCATTTCTAGAAGTCATAATAATTTACTTTCAAGTTAGGGCCTTGAAGGGCAAATGTCGCCTGTGGGGGCAGCCCCCGAGCAGACGTCTCTGGCTCCAGCGGCAATGTGCACTGGTCGCGGTCTCCACATGTGGGCGTGAAGTGCTCGTGCAAGGGCTAGTGGAGCTGGGTCTTGTATTTGCACAAGAGGCGTTCGCCAGAAGACAATTAAGGGAGTGTGCTACCAGTGGGTCCCTCCTGGGGGTTTTGGCTCAGGGGACAAAGGGATAGGGGCCTGCACTGCAAGGAGACAGGGCTGGCCATGCTGAGACATGGGGCCAGGATTCACCTTTGGCAGGCAGGTTCAGCTCAGACAGGGAACATCACCAGCCACGAACGGCACCGGTACCAAGTGCTGTGGCAACCACATGTCAGACAGCCCCGAGCCAGGAAAGAAGACGCTTCAGAGGGGAAACAGGAATAGAAAATGCTACATTGTGCAGACACCGAGTTAATGCTCCTGTGAAACTTTAGCAGCGTTTTCATTTGCAACAAGGATGTGTTCAAGTGTGTGTGTTTTGGGGGGGGGGATCAGATGCACTGTGGAATGTTTCTTCCGATGAGGACGACAGAGGATAGGTGAAGGGAGCAGCCCCAGGGTCGCAGGGATAGAGCTGGGGTCTAAGATCCAGGCTGTCTTGGGGTACAGGGAGCTTGAGGGCAGCAGTGCTACACGAGTGGAGCGGGGACGGGAGCTGCCAGCCAGCCCCAGTCCAGGAGGGACTTCACAGCTCAGCCCTCCTCTACTGCTTTACGTCTCAGCCCCCTGCCCTCACTGGGGGCAAGACGCTGTTTCTGGCAAGTTAGAAGCCCCTCACTTGCCTTAGCTGCCCTGGAAAGGCTGTGCCCCTGCCCCCAAGGCAGCTAAGACCCCAGCAGCCCCTACTAGGGGCCCCAGGGACAGCCCAGCTGGGGCCTGTCTGCTGTCTGGCCCTATGGAGGTCTCCATCAGCATCTCTAGGACAGGCAGAGACGTTTCCACACGAATTTGGAACAAGGAGAGGTCAGGGCAGGCTCGATGTGAGTGGCGACAGGATGTAGCCTACTCTGTCGGGCAGGGGCCCCTTCTCCTGGCGGGTCCAGCCTTCCATGGGACAAGGCAGCACTCAACAATTGTAGCCTGAGCCCTGCAGCCCCCGCCCACCCCACTGGAGACTGATGTGAAATTAGTGTTTAAGGAGGCACCAAGACCAGCACCCTCTGTGGCTGCGGCTGGGGATATGTAGTGCTAGCGCAGGTGCAGTGTGAACACTTGTGTGCTGGGGGCAGGTGCCTTGGGCACAGGCCCTTGCACACCCCTAATGAACATGTAGGGCTCCCCCAACCCCATGCCCTGAGCCAGGCCACGGAGCCAGAGCCCAGGTAACAGGGTGCTTTGAATACACTCACCCCAGGCCACCTGCCCTGCTAGAGAGAGCATAGTTGTGTCTTTGGGGAAGCTGAACTTCCTAGCCCCAGCCCAGTGGTGGCAGCAAGAGAGACAAGGAGGCAGAAAACTCCCCGCAGTAGATGACAGCCCCATGGCCCGGCACAGCACAGATGCCCCTTCACCGGGGCCAGCAGGAAGGTGCAGGCTGGGGCTGAGGCAGACCAAGCCCAGGCTCTGCGATGGGTGCATCCCCTGGTACACAACACCACCCTGGGGAGCCTGTCCAGTGCACTGCCTCATGCAGCTGGGTGGCCCCCACAGTCAGCAGGGCCCAGCACTTGCCGTGTGGTGGCAAAAAGGGCCTAGCAGCTGCACAAGCCCCATCCCAGGCAGTTTTGAGTCACGCCAAGGCAGCAAGTCCAGGGGTGGAAGCAGCCCGTCCAGGCCTGCCATCCAAAGTACATACAGACCGGCTGGCCACGGTCCTACTACTCCTCCCCTTGCTGAGGCTCCATGATGCTGGCGGGCTGGGCATGGCCCTAAGCCTCCACCTTGGTGTTGGGGTCCCGGAAGAGCAACTGCTTGCGCAGCATGAGCCGGGCGCACTTGGGGCAAGTGGTCGAGTTGTCGTAGTAGCAGTCCCTGGGGGGCGAGAGGGCCATGTCAGGGCGAGATGCAAGGGCTCTGTTGCCAGCTCACACTAAGCCCCTACACCGGCATGATGGGTGTGCACCAGGATCTGCAGTTCTGCTCCCCAGCCCCTCCCAGCCGGGGAGACCCAGGCACACGGGCCAGGCTGGAGGAGGGGGTAGAGCACCAGGTCTATCACCTGCACCAGCAAGCAGGCAAGCTCCTGAGGCAGGGCTGTGCCAGGCTCCAACTGGGCACAGCCCATCTCATCCTCCCCTGCCCTGGCACTCGCCAGGCCCTGGATTCTGCCCCCTCCACCCACCTGCTCCTCCCCAGCTCCGAGACTCCCAGTGCCCAGGCTCACCCACCTGTGGAAGACGGCAGAGCAGTCAGTGCAGACCGAGGTGTGGCTGTCGAAGGGGAAGAGCACATCGCCCTCCTTGCAGAGCTCGCACACGAAGCCCTTGGCCTGGCACCTCTGAGGACAAGAACAGTACAGGCTAAGCCCTCAGGCGATGACCCTCCGTGACCCCTGCACCACAGGCAGCTCCCGGGACCACACACGCCTGCAGTCAGCTCCTGGGGAGGGGGGTGAAGGTGTGGGGTGGGGAGACGGCGCAGGCAGGAGGCGAGACAGCAGCCCACTGCCCAGCCAGGGCCAGGCAGCCTCACCTCGCAGTCCAGCTTGATGTGCTTGGCGAAGAGGGTGTGGATCTCGGTGAGCGAGCAGCCCAGGCGCCCAGCCTGCACGTCCACCAGGTCCTGCAGCGAGTACATCTCATCATTCTCCACAAAGTGCTGCCGGTCCTGCAGCTGTGGGGGAACAGCTGTCAGTGCCCAGCCCAGTTCCTGGGATACCCCCCTCCCCTCCCCTCCCCTCCCCTCTCCCACAGCCCCTACCAGAGGCAGGGGGCAGGCAGTACTAGGCAGGGCTCCATGCCCTCCCCACCAGCCACATGCAGCTTCCACCGGGGGCTGCCCCAGCTCCCCCTGGGGTAAGGGAAGCCTCCTGAGGAAGGACCAGGACAAAAGACTCATCTGGCACCGTGTCATCGCCAGGGCTAGCCCAGCTGCTGGTGCCTGGATTCGCTCAGCCAGGACCAGCACATGGGTAGAGGAGCTCTGCAGAGGACCAGGACCCTGCTGAGCACCAGCCCATCTCAACAGCACCCACCAGAACCAAGTTGGTGCTTGGGGAGCTGCCATATGGAACCGGCCCCAGGCAGGGAAGGGTTAAGGGAGTGTGTGCAGGGAGTGTGCCCCCCCCCCAGCCCCCAGACCTGAAGCAGCAGCCGCGCCTCCATGGCCTCCTTGCAGGTGATGAAGTAGGGCTTCATGAGCAGGATGTCCTGGCGCAGCTTCTGTGTGGGGGGCGGAGGGCAGATGGGGCTGAAGGCTCAAGGCCCTTTGCCAGGGACCGCGCAACTGCCCACGGGACTCCCCCGTCCCTCAGGGCAGCAGCTCAGGGGGCATTGGACTAGCTGCAGGTACACGAGCTGTCCGCTCCCCCTGCCCCAGCGAGTGCAGGATGGGGCAGTCAACAAGCCTCGTGGATCCCTCCTGCTCCGGGAAGGGCAGAGAGGGCAGGTCTCGCTGCCCTCTGCCCCAGGTCCTGGTGAACACCCAGCACCCCTGCCCAGATGGCAGCTGAAGCACAGGGGGAAGGGGGCCAGGGTGGCTGGGACCCTGAGCCAGGCTGTGGGGGCTTACCCTGATCTCCACCAGCTCCTCCACATAGTTGAAGAGCAGAGGGTTTATCTCCCGCAGCTTGAGCACCGGGCGTGACAACATCAGGGTGAGGTAGCGCATGCTGCAGCGTGACACCTGGCCCCCGAGGACACCAGGCCCCGTCAGCCAGGTGGTGGCAGCCCTGTGCCCTCCCGCCCCAGCACATCCCCAGTCCTGCCCCTGGCAGGAGGCCGCAGAGCTGGCCCCTCCATGCGCACCTCTCAGCTGCCCCTTGCTCACAGACGAGCAGGGGCAGACCTGTCTGGCTGGTCCCATGCACTGCGCATGGCATGGAAGGGGACGGCCCCTCCACCTGTCCGGAAGTCCCCATGTCCAGCCTCTATCCAGCACCACCCAGTAGCCCACCCTATCCCCAGAGCACTGCCGATGCCCTCGCTAGCCCCAGGCTGCACAGAGGGGAGCTGGCTCTGCCCACAGCCACCGTCCCTGTGTCCCACCCCAGCACACACGGGGCAGACATGGGCCCCCCTACACCCCAGGGATAATGGGGGGAGCAGGCATCTCACCTTGCGGGGTTCAAAGTCCCAGTTGTGGATGACACGGGCAGGGATGACAGCCAGGTCATTCCAGTGGCAGCTGCTGCAGTAGTACAGGCCCGTGTAGTCGCACTGCCGGGCCTCGCTGGGCACACCCCCTGCGCAGGGCACCACCGTCAGCGCTCGGCACCACTACCACTGCCCTCCCACACCCTATAGGGGCACTCCCTGATGGCCCCTGCCAGCCTCTACCAAGCACTGGAGCCCTGTGCTCAGGGAGGGGCAAAGCCCAGGGACACCAAAGCACGCAGCAACCCGGCTGAGCACACGCTGAGTCAGGGCATGGCTATGTGGCTCCTGGCACACATCACCTGTCTTGCACCAGGCCCCAGCTCCCTGCTGCCCAGACGCCCACATCCAGAGCAGCTTCCTGCCTTGCTCCACCCTTTCCAGACCTGCAGGATGCAAGCACCAGGCCCGAGCACACCCAGGTCACCTGCAGCGTGTGAGCCTGGCACTGGTCTCAGCCCTGTCCCCAGCACTCACGGAGAGAGATGGGTGCCCGGCACTCGGCGCACCGGTAGTCCTGGCTGTCCAGCCCGGTCTCGGGGCAGATGCTCAGCTCATACTCAGCCTGGTGACTCACCTTGGAGCGCACACAGGGCTTGGTGATGAGGTTCAGACACTTGCTGTGGCAGCGGTAGTAGCACCCTGAGTAGGAAAGAGGGGGGAAGGCACAACACTAATCCATGAGGACAGCCACCCCGCTGGTCCCAGGGCAGGAGCCCACCCTCTTCAAACAGTGCTGGATGCTCGCACCCACAGCTGCCTGGCCATGGGGCAAGGAGGCAGAAGGACAGGAGGAGAGAGCTGAGCAGTGGCCGGTCCCTTTGTACCATTACACCTGCCATGCGAGTGAGCAAGGCCCTGGTGCCCAGCAGCAAGGCCAGTTTGTCCGCGCTGGGATGGACTCTTCCTCTCCACCACTTCAGCTGAGTGCGGGGAGCAGGCCCTGGCAAGGAAGGTCAGCTGCCTCCTGTGTAAGCCTGGCCCCATATGTGTGCATGGGTGCAAGTGTGCTCACCAGTGCAAGTGTACCAGGTCTGGATGAGGCCCCAGATGATGGTGCTGCACTTGTCACACGTCTGCTTGACACTCTTGCTCTTCTCCTTGTAAAAGCGGTGCTCCAGCAGCACCCGGATGTTGGGCTCATCCTCACTGGGGTCCTGGGGCATGTACGGGCATCAGGGCAGGGCCTGGAGCCACGTGCGGGGGAGCCGGGCCATCCGCTCCCCCAACCATGGGGCAAGGGGCAGCTGGGGACCGGCTGAGCCCCAGTGCTCCCAGGCACCTGCGGGTTGTGCGGGAACTCCGCTCCACAGCCCCGTCTTGCTCAGCCTCTCCCACCCAGGCCCGCGGTGGGGGGCTTTGATGCACGGCCCAGTTCACGCCAGCCTGGGGCAGTAGGGACTGGCAGGCCTCAGCCTGGCAGCCCACGGGAGGCAGTCAGTCCAGACCCCAGCGACCATCCAAGGGGGCCGTGCTCCCCTCCCAGCCCTCCGAGACTGGAGAGTCCCCACCCACCTGCTGCATGGGCCCAGCCCTACTCCCGCATGCGGCACCTTCAGCTCCTGGAGCTTGAGGCGCAGGTGGATGAGGCGCACGACGGCGTCTTTCTGCCTCTCCGAGTGCTCGGGCAGCTCCAGGATCACCCGCTTGCACTCCTCGATGGCCTGCCGCAGCTGCTGGATGTCCGAGGCCAGGAAGAGGCCCTGCGGGCAAGCGGGGCATGACTGTGAGCCCCACGGCACTGCCCACCGGGAAGGAGACACAGCTGGGCAGGCAGCATGACCCCGGGCACGTTTGTGCCACCGCCAGGCCGAGCCTCCCACACCCAGGACCCCCCCAGCCGCGATCCAGCCCTCTCCAGGGACCCACCACAGGGCGGGAGAAGTGGTCCTCAGCCAGGCCCAGGTCCATCACGCGCTCCGTGCACTGAAACTCCGGCTCCGCCTGCGACAGATCCAGCAGCACCTCTGCCAGGGAGGAAAGGCCCGGGGTGAGCAAGCAAAGCCTCCTTCGAGGGCTGGACTCAGTTCAGCCGTGGAGCAAGCGCTAGGCCCAGCTGCACGCTCATCACAGCTGCCGATGCCCGGCAGGGTCTTGCCCACGCTCGGACAGTGAAGGGCACCGGGCACGCTCCCCACCTGGCCCTAGCCCCCGCAGCCAAGGAACTGCACCCCAACAGCAGCCGGCGGGGCTCTGGGAGCGCTCACCTCGATGGCCCAGGTCCTCGGTAGCGTCCCCGGCCTTCTGCTCATGCTGGCCCTGCCCCAGCTGCTTGTTGAAGGGGTTGAGATGAGCCTGTCGAAAGCGCGCCAGCTTCTCATCATATTCCATAGCAGGCCCACCTGCCGGAGGGAGGGCACCGAGTGAGGCAGCCAGCGCCGCGGCCCGGGACCCAGCAGCACCGAGCTGCCCCACGCCCCTCCCTCTCCCGGCCCCCGCACGCCGCGGCATGGCGTGACAGCCCGCGCCAGGTGCACGAGCGTGTGCGCAGCCGGCCCTCGAGGTGGAAAAACCAGTCCCTCCGCTCCCGGGCGCGCAGCTGAGCGC